TTTAGAGTGTGTTTGGTTTCTCATGTGTGGCATATTCATTTTGTAGCTCTTACCAGAATTTTTTTGCATCTGCAACAAAACTAATTTTTATGTAGTCTTTTTTCCATCATTCTTAGAGATATACTTGGGACATAAAATTGTGTTCAGTATTAGATGAATTTGGATATGCTTAAAGGCAAATCAGGCTGGGTGTGGTGGCTCACGCCTGTAATCACAGCACTTTGGGAGGCCGAGGCAAGCGGATCATTTGAGGCCAGGAGTTTGTGACCAGCCTGGCCAACGTGGTGAAACCCCGTGTCTACTAAAAATACAAAAATTAGCCAGGATTGGTGATGTCTTCTTGTAATCCCAGCTACTTTGGAGGCTGAGACACGAGAATCACTTGAAACTGGGAGGCGGAGGTTGCAGTGAGCCCAGATGGTGCCACTGCACTTCACACTTCAACCTGGGTGACAGAGCGAGACTCTGTCTCAAAAAAAAAAAAAAGAAACACAAAAGCAAATTATCCATTTTTAGAATCCATGTTACTTTCTAAAGTGAAAAAGTTCTGTTCCTATGTGTTTATGTGTGCAATTATCATTTATTTCTTACATGTTAATGTAAGCAAGTCAGTCAATTCCCAGTTAGATTTCATTAATTAGAAATTTAGTACACACTTACTGAGCGCCTGCCATATGGTAAAGAATTGTGGGTCTCTGCTCTCTTGTAGCTAATAGTCTAGAAAGGGAATCAAATGTCAAAGTGTCTTAAAATGGTAAGTGCCAGAATATAGGTAATGGGAAATGTAACTGGTCAAATGCTTCCGAATGATGAGCCACTCCATGATTTCCTAGCTTTTTGTAGACATAACCCTATAAAGATGAGAAATCATAAATTAGCATTAACTCTACATTGAGATTCTTGTTTTCTTTGTTATCTCCTCCTGCCTTCTTAACATTCATGACAAGAATTAAACCTTGTGGGTGGGGCTGGGTGTGGTGCCTCACATCTCAGCACTTTGGGAGGCCAAGGTGGACAGATCATGAGGTCAAGAGTTTGAGACCAGCCTGGCCAACTTGGTGAAACCCCATTTCTACTAAGAATACAAAAATTAGGCTGGGCATGGTGGTTCACGCCTGTAATCCCAGGACATTGGGAAGCTGAGGTGGGTGGATGACCTGAGGTCAGGAGTTCGAGACCAGCCTGACCAACATGGTGAAACCCCATCTCTTCTAAAAATACAAGAATTAGCCAAGCATCGTCTCGGATGCCTGTAATCCCAGCTACTTGGGAGGCTGAGGCAAGATAATCACTTGAACCTGGAAGGTGGAGGTTGCAATGACCTGAGACCATGCCATTGCACTCCAGCCTGGGCAACAGAGCAAGACTCCGTCTTGGGGCAGGGGGAGGGGGGGCACACATTGAGGGGAATAATAAATATCATCGCATTTAATTTCAAACTGAAATCTTATCAACTAACCATGCTTCTCTTCCACTGCCTCATGATGATTAGCTATTAAAAAAGAACAAACAAACTGTAGCTCTTTTTTGTGTATAGACGTAAATTTTCATTTCTGGCTGGGCACGGTGGCTCATACCTGTAATCCTAGAACCTTGGGAGGCCGAGACTGGCGGATCACCTGAGGTTGGGAGTTCAAGACCAGCCTGATCAACATGGAGAAACCCCATCTCTACTAAAAACACAAAATTTAACACAAAAAAACCCTTTAATTTCTATAGGACAAATGCCAAGGAATGTGATTGGTGGGTTGTATGGTAAGTGTAT